GCACACACACCACAGACGCACACACACCACAGACGCACACACACCACAGACGCACACATACACATGGTTAAAAATAACTTGTGAAATCTTAAAAAACAAAACTCATCACCTAGTACTAGTGACAACCTACAAGAAGAGTACAGACTTTATTTCGCCATTATGACTTCTCTTCTAAGAAGCTTCTTTAGATATTTAGGGTGGAGCACTGGAAACAGCTGTTTAGATTACTTCTTTTTAACTTGGTGCACAGCTTTACTTTGTTCAGTAAATATTAGGTTCCAGTTAGCATAGTCCAGAAGCATTTATCATTAACTTGCTCCCAGGAAATAACTCAACCATGACATAGCTGTTCTTGCTCTGTGAAGACCAGTACTTATAAAAATTCCAGCACCCACTTGAGGTTTACAAGAAACCAGTTTGGGTTAAAGTACAACATATATGGGTAATTTTCAAGTTGCCACTTTAATATCCCAACCTTACAAGTTTCTTTTAATCTTTTTCATTTTTAACTTTATTTTTATTTACATTTTTATGTTTGCTTCTGTGTGTGTAAGCACATGTATGTAGGTGCTCATGGAGCGCAGAAGAGGATGTTGGATCCTCTAGAACTGGAGTTACAGACTTCAGTTGTGAACTGTGTGATATGGGTGTTGGAAACCAAAGGACCCTTTATAAGAGCAGCAAGCTCTCTTAACCACTCTCCAGTGATTTGTTTGTTTGCGACATGGTCTCATGTAGCGCAGGCCATCCCAAACTCCTAAGCAGCTGTGGAAGACCATGAGCTCTTAGATCTCCGAAGTGCCAGGATTTCCATTGTATGCCACTCACTGTACCTGGTTTTGTGCAGTGGTGGAAGATGATGTTTGAATCCCTGGGACCACTGTAACACACATACACAGCTTCACATGAAAATAACTTAGAAAACCATTTTCTTGGAAAAACAGCCCATCCTTAGGACTTAACATTTGCACTGACAAAGTCAGATTCAGCTGGGCGCGATGGCAGACACCTGTAATACTTACTACCCCTTTGCCAGTGGAGGCTGGATGACAGTCAGTAGCTTAAAGTCACCTTAGCTGTATGTAGTACAGCTCTGTGATACCCTTCAGTTTTTTCACCTCAAAAAGAACACCAACTAGGAATTCAAGGTCAGCCTCACTGTAAGTTTGAGGCTAGCCTGGGATACATGAGATTATCTGCCCTACCTGTCCAGAGGATCAAGTATTGTATGAGGTGATGCAGCCAAAGCTGTTTGTAAATAGTAAAGGGTTGTACAACACAGTTATGTTTCATAATAGAATTCTCATTTTTTTTACCAGCTAATTATGAGTCAGTATTGTTGTATCAGCTACAAGAAATAAAGGAGGTTCAGCGAGATGAAGCTTTCCAACTGCCACAAGACTTAGATTATCTAACAATCAAGGATGTGTCGTTGTCCCAAGAAGTTCGAGAGAAGCTACACTTGAGTCGCCCACAGACAGTAAGCAAACAAGCAATGGGAAAAAAGAAGTTAGAAGCTAAGTCAGAAAGGGCTAGTGCTTTATTTTAATCCTGTACTTAGAATGGTCACATGAGTGATCTTGAGAAACCTAATCTTGGGGCTGGAGAGCTGACTCTAGAGCTAAGAGTCCTTGCTGCTTTGCAAAGGACTCTGGTTTGGTTCCCATGGTGGCTCCCAAGTGACTCCAGTTCCAGGGAATTTGATGCCCCCTTCTGACCTCTGAGTGCACTGCATGTACATGGTATACTTATGTACATTCAAAAACACTCAACATCTGGGCAGTGGTGGCACACGCCTCCCAGCACTCGGGAGGCAGAGGCAGGCGGATCTCTGTGAGTTTGAAGCCATCCTGGTCTACAGAGTGAGTAGGACTGACAAAAAAAAAAAAAAAAAAAACAAACCACTCATGCGCATGACAATAACCCAGAAGGAAAATTTTTCTTTAAATATTTTTTTAAAGACTTGGTTTGACTGCATATATACTTTCATTCTAACCCTGTGCTAAAGCATTGGCGCACACCCTTTATTGTACAGCCACTGAGGCAAAGCAGTGTAATGTTAGCATAATGCTTTCTCATCTAAAACAAAAACGAAAAACAAAACTGATTCTTTCCCTTCCTCCCAGTAATTATGAAAAGACAATAACTGAGCTACAGGGGGACTTTGTGCTCCCCTCCTCCTCCTCCCCTTCCTCACTCCATCATGAGATTTTGCCTGGCTTGAACTTAGGCAAGCCTTGTCTGTTATGCCCTGAAAACACTGCTTCCTTTAAGTAATCCACTCTTAGCATCTTTCCATCCCCTCTTCCTCCATGATCCCTGAGCTGGGAGGGAATAGTGTTGGTGCAGATGTCTCGTTTAGGACTGAGCACTCCAAAGTCTTGTATTTTCTGCATGTTGACCAATTGTGAATCTGTGTTAATTGCCATATATACCACATTATTTTCTTTCTTAAAAGGGGGGGGTTATATGTATGTTTTCCCTACATGTGCTTATGTACAGCACATGCATGTCTGGTGCCTGTGGAGGTCAGAAGAGAGCATCAGATTCAGGTTCCCTGGAACTGAGTTATAGATGGTTGAGCCAGTCACCTTGTGGGTGCTAGGAGCTCAGCTAGTTTAACTAATGTAGTCCTGCCGGACTCTGTAGGACAGGCTGGCCTAGAACTCAGAATCACCTGTCTCTACCTCCTGAGCGCTGGGATTAAAGGCTTTCTAATGGCCACCATCACCCAGCTCTCAGATAATTTTTAATAGCTGGATGTGATGGCACCTGCCTGTAGTTCTATCATAGTGGGAAATTTGATGTGTTTTTATGTGCCATAGCTCACTTTTGTTCTTTCGTCATTTTAATTCCTAGATTGGGGCTGCTAGTCGTATACCTGGAGTGACACCAGCTGCCATCGTCAATCTGCTCAGATTTGTGAAGGCCGCTCAGCAGAGACAGGCAGGAGTGACGGAACACCAAACCAATTAGTACTTACGTTGATATAAAGAAGCTTCCAGACAGAATTGTAACTTTCATTTCATAGAGGACTTTTAGAAAGAGAAAGAGGGCTTAGAGAGTATAAAAGGAGATAATAATACCTGTAAGAACAGCATTGTTAGATTATTTTACGTTTGTCCTTATAAGACAAAGGTTACAGTTGTGCTTTTTTAAGTATTATTATGCAAAATACTTCAAGACATCAGTAGGTCATGTAGCATTCATCAAAGGGTAATAATTGAGCCAGAACTAAACCTGAAACTGAGTGTTGGTACAAATTTTAAGTAATCCCATCTGTTACGAGGTTGAAGCTGGGCTGGACAGTGGTGATGATGCACACCTTTAATCCCAGAACTTGGGATGCAAAGAAACCCTGTCTCAAAAAAAAAAAAAAAAAATGATCAGGAGTTCAAGATGAAATTGGCCACACACAGAGACCTGGTCTCTAAGAGCCACTTCCAGAGCCTATGCCTCTTTGGCCTGCCCACTTTTGTCAGTTATGCAGAAGCGCTTTTCCTGATACTCTGGACTTTTCGCACTCATTCTCTGAAGCGCTTCCATTCCTGCCTGCTTTTTTTCAGCCAAGTGGTATTTCTCCCTCTTTCCAGCTCCCTCTTCCTGGCAGTAAAACTGTCCTTGAGCTCTAGAAACAAAAAGTATTCAGGGGCAGGAGAGATAACCCAGAGTCTTTCTGCCTGAAGAAGACCCGAGTTTGGTCCACATCAGCCTGATGCCTGGAACTGCAGTCCAAGGGGTCTGGTGCTCTCTTCTGATCTGCTATAAAATCTCAGGGGGGTTGGCTCCAAATGCTTGATGAGCATGTTATTTTGTCAGGAAAGTCTGAGGCCATCCAGAGACTAAGCCTGAGACTGCAGAATAAGACAAGCAGTGCCCATTTGGTGAGTGGACATGCTGAGGGTATCAAGGCCCCAGTCTGCCAGTATGGAGACTGATGAATTTATGTGATAACCCCACCCCCCATATTGTATGCAGGTGGCTAGTCTACTGTCCTATGATGTTTTTACAGGTAAACTTAAGATGGGGAAATTTCTTAAGCCCATATGTCAAGTTAATTTGGTATTTTTTACTCATAAAGCACACCAGACCACAGGCTTAGTCTTGTCTGCTTACTGTGGTTAGAAAACGGTGATTCAAGTCCTGAACTAGAATGAAAAATGAAGACTGAACTGGCAATGGTGGCACACACCTTTAATCCCAGGACTGGGAAGCAGAAGGTGGATCTGTATGAGTTCAAGGCCAGCCTGGTCTACAGAACAGGTTCCAGGACAGCCAAGTCTGCACAGAGAAACCTGTTTCAAAAAACTCCAAAGAAAAATGGAGACTACAAAACCACCCCGATTCACTCAGCTGTCTTTTCCTCTTTTGAGAACAGTTTTCAGCTGGTGTGCCATTACAGCATTATGCACATCATCCTAATACTGGGAGAGGCAGGGAGAGCAGGAGAAATGGGTCTGCAGGTAAGTGCAATGGCTGCTTTTTCAGAGGACAAGGGATCAAGACAGGATCCAATACCTGGCCTCATGGCCATGTGATACACAGACATACATGTAGGCCAAGCACCCATACGCATACTTTTTTCTTTTTTAGTTTGACAGAGGTAGCAGGAAGCTCAGAAATTCAAAGTTATCGTCAGTTTGAGGCTAGTCTCGACTACATGAGACTCTGCCTCAGGGGTGTAGGTGGGTGAGGGCTGGATGCCCATACAGTTTCTAATTCTGGAATTGTGTAGGTTAAAAGCTGACCCAGAACATTTAAATCTTAGATTTCAGCACTTTGGAAACTTTCAATAGTCATTAGTTTTGAACATTAGTGGAAACTTTCAATAGTCATTAGTTTTGAACATTAGTGGAAGTACTATAAAACAAACACAAACGTATTTTGTAAGCAGGTTAAAGGTGGTCATATTTCATACAATAAAAATGTTTGCTGATCCAACTGACCTGGCCATGATTTAACATTAATAAAGCAATCTATAATTACTGATGAACCGTGTCTAGTGCCGTATCCTTTCTTTACTGGTGCAGGGATAGTATGTGCTGCATTGGGGTGACCAATGTGGGTCCCTTGGCTAACCTTTATGTGTAGACTAGGTGATGAATATAACTAGATGGGCCAGACGGTTCTGTTTGGGTTTTTTCTTTTGGGGGGGGGGGGGGGTTGAGACAAAGTTTCTCTGTAGCTTTGGTGCCTGTCCTGGAACTAGCTCTTGTAGACCAGACCTGCCTCTGCCTCCCAAGTGCAGGGATTAAAGGCATGTGTCACTACCACCTGGCCCTCCCAGCCCTGTTTGTTTCTGTAATACTAGCCAGGCTGTTAGCCTACCTAGGAAGAAGCCCCATGTTTGCTTAGGCTTCTGCTAGAACTTAGTGTTCCAAGGCCTCTAGTCACTTTGGCCCTATAACTAAGGTCTGATTATAGGGAAGGCAACCAAATATTTTGTTATAATTTAGCATGACTATTTGAATGTAGTTCAATGTAGTTATGAATATAGTTAGATTTGCTTGTTCATCTAAATTTAGTCCAGGTCAGGTCAGGGTCTATTGATTTAAAATTTATTTTTATGTGCATTAGTGTTTTGTCTGTATGAATATCTGTGTGAACTTGCCATTTCCCCTGAAACTGGAGTTACAGTTGTGAACTGCAGTGTGGGTAGTGGGAACGGAAGAGCAGCCACTGTTCTTAAGTGCTGAGTCATCTCTTCAGCCCTGATACCTTTAGAGATGTAGCTTTTAATCAATACCATGTGTGTGTACAAATACAAAGAATACATAGGCTTTAGCCAGGCATGGCATGTGACAGCATTTGACATTTGAGCATAGCTTGGACTGTACAGTGAGAAATCCCAAGACTTGAGAGACAGAATTGACTCAAATTGGAGGCAAGCATAGAACACAGCAAAACAAAGCCAGGCTAGCCTGTAATCCCACTGTTGGGGAGGCGGAGACAAGAGGAAAGCCACAAATTTAAGGTCAACCTGGTCTACCTAGTACCTAGGAAGTTCCAAACAAGCCAGAGCCACATAGCAATGTGATCAAAAGTAGAAGGGTGAAGTGGGGAGAGATAGCTCAGCAGTTAAAATCACTCACTACTCTTTCAGATGACTTGGGCTCAATTCCCAGCACCTACAATGGTGGCTAATACCCAGCTGTAACTGAAGTCCAGGCATTCCACACAGCCCTCTTCTGGTCCTTTACAGGTACCAGGCATGTATGTGGTGCGGATATATATACACCTACAGGTAAAACACATGAGCTCCAAGCTAGCTGAGCTGTAAAGAGTTGGACTTGCCTCAAAAAGGGAAGCGATGCCAGGTGGTGGCATGGGCCTTTAATCCCAGCACTAAGGAGGCAAGGATATCTAAACTAAAGGCCAGCCTGGTCTACAGAAGGTCCAAGACAGAAACCGTCTCAAAAAAAAAAAAAAAAAAAAAAAGAGGGAATAGGGGGAAAAGATGGTGAATTTTAGTGTATGTAAAGAATTTAGCAAGTGGGTGAAGGGGGAACCTCTTGCATAATTTGCTCTTTTGCTTTTATGTAGGATATAATACATTAAACTTAATGTTCTTTGTTGCCTATCTCCTAGAGATCACACTAGACAACCTGGTTTACAGAGCAAGTTCCTGGAGTTCCATGCCAGGGCTGAATGCACAGGGAAAACCCATCTCCCAAAAAAAAAGTTATTTCAAGATACTTGTGGTGGTGTGGCCTTTAATCCCAACACTTGGGAGGCAGAAGCAGGAACATTTGTCCTGCCTGAACCTGTCCCAATAAGTACTTTAAAATCCACTTATTGATCCAAATATTAATAGGTTGTAGTAGGCTGGAATGAAGGATCACAAATTTAATGACTGCCTGAGGCTGACTGAATTTTTATAAAGGAATTAGTAAAGTAGTATACCTAACCTACCATGTTCAGTACCCAGTACCCACTTCCAAATTAAATTGCCAGACTAGCTTGATTTAAAACACCCCCGGATGAGAGAGTAGTAGTGTAGCATTGAAGAGCATTAACAGTGATTCATCCTTTTACTAGAGTCATGTGCCTGTGGAATAACTTAGCAAATTTTCTTCCTCTTGTCCTCAGGGTCAGCAGCACCCCTTTACCCACTGAGCCGCCTGGCTTGACACTATTTCTAAGGATGTTGGACTCCCAAACCTGTGTAATCCAAACAGACCTGCAACTCCCTGAGGAGCCAGAGGAAATGTCAGTAGCAACAGCCCTTTATTGATAGGCAAAGGCCAAATAGTTTCCAGCATTAAAAATACGGCAAAGCAGGGTAGGGTGCCTTGGCACTCACATTTAATCCCCACAGTAGAAGTTGGAGTTTGAGGCCAGCCTGGTCTGAGCTAGTTCTAAGGACAACCAGAGTTAAGAGAGAAATCCTGTTTGTAAAACTTAAGCCCAAAATATTTCTCTAGAATACCTTCCTCCTTCCTCTAACCTTTCCTTTAAATTCCTTAGATTTATATTATCCACACATGTGCACAGACCATTAGACTCAACCAACTTAAAATGCTGAAACACCATATGAGTGTTGGAAACTCAAAATGCTCCCTCAGTTTACACAACAGAATCTGAGGGCAAGTCTAGTCATTTGTAACCTGAAATGTAATCAGCTAGCCTACTTAAAGCAGGTACTAAGTAAATTAGCTTTCACTTCTGGGCTTATCAATGCCAAAGGATTACAGATGCACTCCTGCTATGTAGTTAACTTAGTAGTGGGCTTCTCTAGCAGGCAATGCCTCGAGGCTCTGGATCCCATACCCAGACCTTTTCCAAGTTTTGTGCTTTTAGTGCCAGGAGGTGGTGCTATCCACTGACTTCTACACATGCACAAATCTTCATATCCAATGAACTACATCTTAACATCTCTTGGATTCAATCCTGCCTTTATCTGCTTTCCAGGTAGATCTTGCTTTCTTACAGCTTAGTAAAATTAGCAATCCATCAATAACCTGACAAACCTTTAGCCACTGATTTACAGATCTCACCCAGTTTAGTGAAAATGCCACTTCTGACTGCTTATGGCCCAGGGACTTCAAAGTGATTTTTAACCCTAGACAATCAGCTTTATCTAAACTTAAACTAGGCCACCTGTTGTGATCAAGTTACCCATGAAGAGCAGCAAACCCTTGCTGGAATAGTGGTGCAGGCCTTTAACTCCAGCACTTGAGAGGCAACTGTCTTAAAGCCTCCCTCCCCCATAACAAAGAACAAACCCGTAACACACAGAACTATATTATGCCACCATCTCCAGTTCAGTGAATATCCTGGGTACCTCAATTCATAATTGTGTATTATTAATTATATCATTTTAATTCAGACTTGAAACAATTCCAAAATTAGGTTTTAAAACAGGATGTTCCTGGGCTAGAGATGGCTCCAGTGTGTAAAGAAGCAGTAGCTGTTCTAGAGGATAAGAATTCAAATTCCCTCTGAACAAAGTAGTTAGAAGTTCAATTCCCAATCATCATGGTGCCTCAAAAACTATCTATAGATGATCTGATTGATGCCCTCTTCTGGCTTAAAGCCATACACTACATGCAGTCACAAATCATTTTAAATTTTTCTTCCCAATCTATTAGCTAAAATTTGAATGATGCCATTTACAAATACACACTACCAACAGTGTTTTATATATATATATATCCCCAGAAAACCATGAAAAATCCTAAGCTTTTAAAAACTTGCTGAGCATTTATCGTTTCTCTTTGGTTTTAAACTGTAGCCAACATTTACTATCTCTCCTTGAATGTTTTTCTTTCCTTAGACTAAACCACTAAACCAAAGCCTGCCTCCCATTTTAGTTCAGTATGGTAGGGCCATTTATCTTTCATGTACCCAGAGTGAGGAGGGTATAGTTCCAGTCCCCATGCCTGCCCAAGCTACATACTGAACTATAATCCGTTTTGTCAACCAGTAACTAGATTACCTATATCTTTGAGACTCCCACAGCTAATTTAGATTACAAATTTACATTTTTAAAGTCATCTATTGGTTGGGGCTAGAGATGGCTCAGTGATTAAGAGCATTGACTGCTCTTCCAGAGGACCTGGGTTCAAGTCCTAGCACCCACATGGCAGCTGACAACTGTCTTTAACTCCAAGATCTGACATTCTCATACACACATACATGTAGCACAACATTAATGTAAACAAAATAAAAATGAATTATATTTAAAAAAAAATACTGTCATCTATTGGGCCCTTAAAATGACTGAGCTCTGAGTCAATACAAATCCCTTGGGACACACCTTTCCAAGCACTTAGAAATGACGTTTTAGCATTGACGAGACAGATTTCTCATTAAACTTGTTTTAATGGGTCTCAAAATTCTGTGACAGATTTTTGGTCAAGTTGTTTCCATTAAAAAGTACTGATTTTGAAAACTAATAACTTAAAACTGCCACACACAAAAAAATGGTCCACAAAACATTCTCCTTTCCTTCTGAAGGTTTTACGATGCATTGTTATCATTAACCAGTCTTTTACTATTAAACTTAAATGGCCAATTGAGACAAACAGTTCTGAGACCGTTCTTCCACCACTGATTAAGACTGGGGTGGCAGGTGTTAGGGATAATATTCATTTAGCCTTCTGAGCTTTCTGGGCAGACTTGGTGACCTTGCCAGCTCCAGCAGCCTTCTTGTCCACAGCTTTGATGACACCCACAGCAACTGTCTGCCTCATGTCACGAACAGCAAAACGACCTATACAGAAAAAGATTGTTTTGTGAGAATTATCTCATTTATCATTTCATATTCCATGATATTCAGTACAACAGACTTTTAAGTTATGCTTACCCAGTGGAGGATAGTCAGAGAAACTCTCAACACACATGGGCTTGCCAGGAACCATATCAACAATGGCTGCATCACCAGATTTCAAGAATTTAGGGCCATCTTCCAGCTTTTTGCCAGAACGACGATCAATCTTTTCTTTAAGCTCAGCAAACTTGCATGCTATGTGAGCTGTGTGACAATCTAGTACAGGAGCATAGCCAGCACTAATTTGGCCTGGGTGGTTCAGGATAATCACCTTTAATTTAAGAAAGAGCATTTAATTTTTGCCTTCAAGTTCTGGTTACATGCAATCAATCTCATACACTTGCAAACTATGTTGTTACCTGAGCAGTGAAGCCAGCAGCTTCCATTGGTGGGTCATTTTTGCTGTCACCAGCAACGTTGCCACGTCTAACGTCTTTGACAGACACGTTCTTCACATTGAAGCCCACGTTGTCCCCTGGAAGAGCTTCACTCAAAGCTTCATGATGCATTTCAACAGACTTTACTTCTGTCGTCACGTTAACTGGAGCAAAGGTCACCACCATTCCAGGTTTTAGAACACCGGTCTCCACTCGGCCCACAGGGACAGTCCCAATACCTAAAATTTACAATAGGCATGGTGAAGGCAATTGGAGACATACCTCAAAACAATTCACGTCAGTGTCCTACTGTTCTACTTACCACCAATTTTATAGACATCCTGGAGGGGCAGTCGCAGAGGCTTGTCAGTTGGACGAGTTGGTGGCAGGATACAGTCCAAAGCTTCCAACAGGGTGGTCCCACTGGAACTACCATCTTTGCGAGTGATCTTCCATCCCTTGAACCAAGGCATCTAAAATACAAGACATTAAAGTTATTAATAACCTCATTTCCAGCTTTCTCCATTCAAAAACCATTTAAAAGTCACTTACATTAGCACTTGGCTCCAGCATGTTGTCACCATTCCAACCAGAAATTGGCACAAATGCTACTGTGTCAGGGTTGTAGCCAATTTTCTTAATGTAGGTGCTGACTTCCTTAACAATTTCCTCGTATCTCTTCTGGCTGTAGGGTGGCTCAGTGGAATCCATTTTGTTGACACCAACAATTAGCTGTTTCACACCCAGGGTGTAAGCCAGAAGTGCATGCTCACGGGTCTGCCCATTCTTGGAAATACCAGCCTCGAATTCACCAACACCAGCAGCAACAATCAGGACAGCACAGTCAGCCTTTAAGAAATGAGTTATACTTCGTTAATTAACGATAAAGCTTTCCCACCGGAATGCAAGTCAGGAGTTAGTAGATTTTACGAACCTGTGATGTGCCTGTAATCATGTTTTTGATGAAGTCTCTGTGTCCTGGGGCATCAATGATAGTCACATAGTACTTGCTGGTCTCAAACTTCCACAGGGAGATGTCAATAGTGATACCACGCTCACGCTCAGCTTTCAGTTTGTCCAAGACCCAGGCATACTTGAAGGAGCCTTTTCCCATCTGTGAAGTGATTCATAGTACACTCAAACCTCTGGTTTTTAAGAAAATTATTTCCTGCTTAGAGGGTATTCCCACCCTCCTCCTCTCCCTTCTTATACTTGCCTCGGCAGCCTCCTTCTCAAACTTCTCGATGGTTCGTTTGTCGATTCCACCACACTTGTAGATCAGGTGGCCGGTTGTAGTGGACTTGCCGGAATCGACGTGTCCAATAACGACGATGTTGATGTGAGTCTTTTCCTTTCCCATTTTGGCTTTGAATTAGCGGTGGTTTTCACAACACCTAAAAAAAAAAAAGGTGGGGTGTGATAAATACCTTTGATCCGCCAAGCAGCTTGAGAATTAGAGTTTCGCTCCAACCTCAAAGGGGCAAATTCCAAGGATTTCTTCCATTGCCAGGCTGGCCTGGCTGCAGTCTCCACCCACCAAAACGTGAGCAAACTCCAACGCCATTAGATCCCCTCCCCCAGTAGAGACGAGCGGTGCTCCGAAAGGAGGCTCCGGGGTGACTGAACTGCGGCCGGTACACCACGGGGTCACAGGAAGCAGCGGCCAGCGAGGGGCATGGCCCTCTTTCCTTTGTGTGGGTGACTCACCCGCCCCGCTCCGCCGGGCAGCCGCGTCCTCCATTTTGAGCTCCTGGCTACAGGACCCGGGAGCGGCCATCTTTCCGCGCACGCAACTGGTGCCGGGCGGACCGGCCTCACCCTCGTCGGCGGCGAGATTCACAGCGCCGCCGGGGCAGTGTGTCGGGCACCGGGACTACCAGTCCCGTAATATAAGCCCCACGCCTGGTCACCTCGGTGAACCCCAGGCCTCGCCCCGTCCGAGTGGCGTCGGACATGTGCTCCGAGACGGGCGGGCCCCAGCGCCCGCACTTTGGCCGCCTTCTTCCTGCCCGCCCAGATGTCTATGGGCTCCAGAGGATCCAAACCCACAACCTCCCTTTGTTAACCCAGGCCGCTGGAGAAGACCGGGGCGCAGGGCCGAAAGCGAAGTGCTCTCCGAGTGGCACGCGGCCACGGCGCGGAAGCCACGCTAGGCCTCAGAGCGGACACGAGGCGAGGATCCGGGGCCGCCGCTAGGCCGCACTCACTCCCTCCCGCCAGGCCCGCCGATCGGGGCGGCGATGCTCGCAGGGTAGCCCGGCGGACGACGCCCGCACGCTGGCCCGGCCCGCTCGAAGCGGAGCTCCCGGGCCCACAGAAGCCACACCCGCCACTCACCTGCGTTCTGACGGCAAACCCGTTGCGAAAAAGAACGTCCGAGGCGACTACCGCACTTTTATACCGTTCTCCCCCACCCTCGGGAGGAGGGCGGAGCCAGCACACGACACCACTTTCCCAGTTTGCCCCGCGCCGGCTCCCCGGCCCCCGCTCCGCACGCCCTTCCCCCACCGCCGGGGACCGTGGGCTTGTGCACTCCGGCCCACCCGCGAGCAGCCTTCGGCGCATGCTCCTCCTCCCCGCTGTGCAGGGCGGGCCCGGAGAATCCGGGCTGCGACGGAGGAGAGAATTTAGCGACGGTCCCTGGGATTCCCCGGGGCGAAGGCGATACCTCCTTTTGTATGAATTACTCTGTGCTACAGCTGGGGGTGGGGCGGTGAGGAGCTGGCCAAGAGGGCGTCCAGAATCCGTCCCTACCCTTCCTGACTCCACTGCCAAGGCTCTATCGGGATCCGGGTGTCCCTTCCCACGGAGGCCACCTCCCGACGTCAGCCCTGCCGTCTCCCCCTGCTCGCCCCCCACCCTCCTTGCCGAAGAGGAGCACAATGCTGGGGACCCCTCGTGGCCCCAGAACCCAAGGGCTTAGCTCAGGGACCGAGAGCTCGACGGATCTGCCCCTGTCCTGGCCTCTTGGTTCGTTCCATCCAACGCCAGCTGCTTCTCTGGAAGCCTGAAGCGCGCTTCACGCCCTAGGAATTCCGTTCAAAACGTACTTCAGTCCTACAGTTAGCTATACTTCTCATTCTAGGCTTGTTAACGCTAAAAATGATTGTGTGTGCGCGCATTTGTGTGTGCGTACAGTTATTTGACAGAGCACGAGGAACCTGAGAAGAATCTATTCACTCCACATGGTCTCATTTAGAGGCCAGCATCATCAGTCTTGCCCTAACACTTATGAAATCAGGGCTTATCAAAAATTGCTCGTCCTGTCATTTAAATGCTTTTCTTTCCTGCAGTTCCAGGGATAACTGTATTTTTTGTTTTGTTTTGGTTTTTTGAGACAAGGTCTCTCTTTAGGCCTGAGTGCCCTGGAACTCACTGTGTAGACCAGGCTGACATCAAACTCAGCAGACGTTCGCCCTACATCTGCCTCCTGCGTGTGCCACCATGCCCATCCTGGCCATTTTTAAATGCCTCTCAGGGCAGGCACTCAAAAGTGTTACTGAGGAGAAAGAAAAACTTCTTTG